TGTCCCCCCTGTCCATCACCAATTGCTTATGCCCATTTAGCAGGGGTCCTAGTCTACCCTGGGCCTTCCTTTTACTCCCTATATATCTAAAAAACAATTTTTTGTTATCCTTAACTTGGGATGCCATCCTCAGCTCCGTGGTAGCTTTGGCCTGTCTAACTGCGTCCCTACAAGTGAGAGCAGAGGAGGTATACTCTTCTTTAGTAATCTCTCCCCGTTTCCACTTTTTATATGCCCCCCTTTTTGCCCGTAGGCTGCTCTGGATTTCTTTGGTCAGCCAAGGAAGCCTCTTGACCCCTTTCCCCCTTTTTTCCTCACACTGGGATCGTCTCCCTCTGTGCCCGAAGGATCATTTCCTTAAGGCACAGCCACCCTTCCTGGGCTCCCATGTCTTCAAAACTCTTACTCTGCAGTGCGTCCTTGACTAAACACCTGAGTTCATTGAAATCAGCTTTCCTAAAATCTAGCACTTTCACCCTACTAGTTACCTTACCCACTCAACGTCTTATGATGAATTATATTATTTGGCGATCACTGTCCCCCAGGTGACCACCGATCTGTAGGTCTCCTACCATGTCATCCCTTGTTGTTAGATGTAAAGTGGACAGAAAACTGATTGGATCATCAGGCTCAAAGGGTAGTAATCAATGGCTCAGTGTCTGGTTGGCAGCCAGTATCAAGTGGAGTGTCCTGGGGCCAGTTTTGTTCAATATTTTCATAAACGATCTGAAAGATGGGATAGAGTGCATCCTCAGAAAGTTTGCAGGTGACACGAAGCTGGGGGGATTAGTAGATACGCTGGAGGTTAGGGCTAGGATTCAGAGAGACCTAGACAAATTGGAGGATTGGGCCAAAAGAAATCTCACAAGGTTCAACAAGGACAAGTGCAAAGTCCTGCCCTTAGGACAGAACAATCCCATGCACTGGTACAGGCTGGGGGCTGACTGGCTGGGCAGCAGCTCTCCAAAAAGGACCTGGCGGTACAGTGGGCAGTAAGCAGAATATGAGCAAGCAGTGTGCCCTTGTTGCCAAGAAGGCTAACGGCATCCTGGGCTGCATTGGTAGAAGCATTGCCAGCTGATTGAGGGAAGTGATGATTCCCCTCTATTCAGCACTGGTGAAGCCACATCTGAAGCAACTGTGTCCAGTTTTGGGCTCCCCACTATAGAAAGGATGTGGACAAATGTGGAGAGAGTCCAGCGCAGGACAACAACAATGGTTCAGGGACTGGGGAGCATGACTTTTAAGGAGAGGCTGAGGGAACTGGGCTTATTTAGTTTGGACAAGAGAAGACTGAGGGTAGGGGGACTTAGTTTTAGCCTTCAACTCCCTGCAGGGTAGTCCCAAAGAGGATGGAGCTGGACTGGTCTCAGTGGGGGCAGATGACAGAACAAGAAGCAATGGGCTCAAGGTTGCAGCAAGGGGAGGTTTAAGTTGGATATTAGGAAAAACTCTCTCACTAGGAGGGTAGTAAAATTAGGGACTATTTGTCACCACTATATGGGGACTAAGATTTCTCCACTGTCCCGTCCAAGTTCCAGTCTTGTCATCAAATTGCTAAGAAATTCTTTCTAATTTTGGTCTGGTATATTTTCTTTGTATCTGATAGCTCCTTTTGCTCGATTCAGCCTTGCCTCTGGTCCAGTTCTTTTATGCCACTCTGAAAGGATGGCTGAATCAAGTAAAGCATTTACAATTCAGTGAAAAGCTACTGAAACCCTGTATATTAGCTGCTATGACAATATCTGGCACTGGTCAGTCTATTTCTAGCTGAGTAACTCCCACACTTAGAATCTCATCCTCTTCAGGTGCCTAGTTACTCAACTTCCCAGTTCCTTTGACTGAATGCTATGCTGCTGCTGCTATTATGAGGCTATTTTATTATGAGCAGTTTTTACTTGGCAATAGATGCAGTTATTACTCCATCTAACAAGGGAGGGAAAAGCAGGCAGTTAGCATCATTTATAGAAAAAAGGTTATAAAAGATGATGTATGCACTGAAAAGGAAAAATCCAAGTTTACAGTTTAACCAAATGTATAAAATAAAAGTCCTTAAGTCCAGGTTTGCAATCAAGTACTTGAAAGTTATGAAATTAGAAATTTCATCTTGCCTGTTAAAGCCCCCTCAATCTGGTATTTGCTGGCTTTCAAATGCTTGAGTATGCCATTTAAAATGTCCTAGTACTTGACAAACCATGTGAAATCAAAACAAACCAGGGGCCTGGTCCAGTACACCATTACTTGTATAAGTAATGCATCAGCAATATCCCTATTTAAGGTTCTTCCTGTCCCACGGAATCTCACACTCTGGTTTAGCTACTCATTTGCCTAATGAGCTCTCTTCTCATTTTAGGTGACTCAAGAGACACTATTTCTACCACTTGCTCCGAAAGACTGACAGGTTTTAACAGATCTTGCTGCTAGAAGTGATATTTCTCTTAAAATGAACCTCTTATCAAACCTTAACCAACTGCTTGTCTTTAACGTTTATACCCTTCAAATGGCAAGATTAACTTCCTGAACTTTATCTAGAAAATAGGGTCTAATTTTCTCCACTGCTAAAAAATGCATGTTAACTCAAGTTAGCTAACTACCAGTAAAACCCAACAGAAAGAAACAAGACTATCTGCAGTTCACACACAAGTCAGCATACTGAGTTAATGCTTATGTAGAAGCTTAGTGTTATTCATGACCCAAATTATAAAGTTATAAACTGTCTTGTTTTCCCCATGACTGAAGGTTGAGCTTGATAACCTGACTCAGAATATGCCTTCCCGTCCTCATCTCACGCTGCAGACAAGGCTTCAAAGGTGCTGTTAGTTGCATTTTATTCTAACCAGTCCCTCCCTGTTCCCTTACTTTTATAAATCCCCACTTACTCTTGCAACTGCTCCCTGGCAATCCTGAATGCTAAAGAGGTGAGGTTAAGAGTTAATTTGCCAGCTCACTCATGGAACCAGTGCCCAAAATGAATGGGACAGAGATAGTAATGAAGCGCAAATCGCAAGAGACTGGTGGGTAGAGGGAGAGAGTTGCTTCAGAAATAATCTGACATCTATCCGGAATTGGAGAACTTCCAGAACAGAGCTCAAACAAAGACAACTCACCACCGTGCTCCAGAAAAACCCGAACACATCTTTCTTTTCCTCTTGCTGCAGAGAAATGAAGCAAGGTCCAACCATTGGCATCTCGACCATTTGGAGAATAGCCTTGTTCCAACATCTTGCGCACGGTGTGAACATCCCCAGCAGCTACTGCAGCCTGAATCTGTAACTCTTCCTGTAGTTCAGGGTTCCTCCGACAGTGATGGTGTAACATCCTAGCTGACTCTGACTCTTACAAGAGTGTCATGAGGTCATACTATTCACCTTGAATCAATAGAAAGTGTACATAAATTACAGCCAGAACTAGAAAGAGGGAATTTGTTGAAATAAAAAGTGACATCAAGCAACAAAGAGTACAAACTGAGATTAAGTCCACCATAAACCAGTATCAACAGCTAGATACTTACAATGGCTAGGAAAAAGACAGCTGTAGGCCCCTAATGTTTAAATCCTAACAGAAAAGGAAACTTACACATTTAATAGCATACAGCATTTTTTTCCTTTACCTTTGAATTAAAAAAAAAAAAAAAAAAAATCAAAAAAAATCTAAGAGTGAACCATCATGCTTCTATGCAATTTTAGCACCGTTAGGTATGCTTATGATTCACAATATAATCCTAGAGAATTCAAATAGAAATCCATAGCATCAAATCGCTCTGGCCTGTTTTGGTCTTTCTGAATTCTTTGCAAGAGTTCATATTACTATTTTTCTTTATGCAAAAACACATGATTAAAAGTGAAAAAGTACTTTTTTCAGAGAGATGCCTTGAGTTTAAAAAGACTGAGAACCACTGCATTAGATCAATTCACCAGTGCTAAAGTACTGCATGAAACAGTGCTATATTGGCAGAGAAATCTACTAGATCTTTTTTGCTTAATCATAGAGAATTTTCCCTTCATTTAAAATAAAAATCACAGCATATCTATTTAGTCTTTTGACATGTGATCTACCTCATAGGGATGTGAGAGGGTTAGCGTTTATAAAATGCTTTAAAAAACGTGAAGATATAAGCATTATATTAATTCCTAATATGGATAACAATATGCTCTCGTTATTTTGGCTTGTGGAATCCATAAAAAAAAACCCTATAAAAAGACCTTCATATTGTGAGGGTAAGATACGAAAGCAAGGTTATGAAAGATTCAAGAACACAAATGTTTGACACATCCTTCTGAATAATTACTCAAATACCGAACTGGACTAAATGCTATGCTGCGTATAATAAGGTACTGTATAGAGGCTAGCACAACTGGGAAAAAGTATATGAAAACTGCATTTCATTCTTTGTTTGAAGAATAGAGTCATTTTAAGACCCACTTGCTAGACACCCAGGGACCAAAAAAAAAAAATCACTCAGATATTTATGAAGCCCTTCACAGCATATAAACTCAGATCAGTGTTTGCATTTTCAAACATACTACATTCATTATAGGAATACCTCTCCATAGTGTATGGCAAGGAATACCAGAACAAAGTACATAAGCAACAGCAGATTATCAGAGAGAAAAATATTCAGATGCTGTAGGGTAGATGTTAATACAGAACACCAAGACAGGAAAGAGATTGTTCTAGAGAGAAAGACATCAAGTTTCAATAAAAACTAAAGGTACTAAGAAATAATTTTTTAGAAGATGGCCCATTAAAAAAAGCCTTAAAAGTACATCTTTAAGACAGGGTTGCCAACACAATACTTCACCTGCAACACACCCCATCCCTTGTCATACCAGCCATTGAGCATACTGACCAAGTAACATCCCACAGGATTAGTAATCCTTGTCTTTCCCAGTCAACTTCAGTTTTAACGCCTTTACTTTCTTGTGGCTATGAGCAGTGTTGAAGGGTCTTTTGTTAACATAATGACCACAAGCTCTGGGCTGGGGACCAGTGACCTGACATTTATGCATACAAAGTAAGTAGAGATGCACCAATATTGTTCATATTGTATCAGTGCCGATAAAATGAAAAATTGACATTATCGACAATCAGCTTTTTTTGGCAATTTAACATCGCCTATAAATGCCGCATGCATGGGTGCAGCTGCAGAATTCATGTGACCAGGAGAGCAGCCCAGCAGCTTTGAGAATAGCACCTGGCTGGTAAGTCTGTTGCGGGGGGGAAGCAGACTGAGGCCCCCATGGTGAGGGGGATGTAGAGATGAGGTTAGGGCTGGAGCCGGAGCAGGTACTGCACAGCCGGGGTGAGGTGGGGGACAGAGCCAGTGGCTTTTCTGGGAGGTGCAGACGGCTGGCTCCTGCCACTGCATGCACCCCCAGGGAGCATGTCCTCCTCAGGTCTGTACACAGGGCAAGAGCAGGCTGCTGCTGTGTGCTTGAGCCGGGGCTGCTCCAGCCTCTTCCCAGTGACTGCGCTCGGGCTGGGTAGGGTGGGGTGGGCAGTGCTGGGAGGCAGGGCTAAGGGCTTCAACCTTGCTCTGTGCACAGATCTGCAGAGACACATGCCCCTCATGCCTTCCCCGAGGGTATGTGCACTGGCAAGAGCCAACCCCCAACCCCATCCCCTCACAACCCCTGCATGAGCCACGAGCTCCATCCTACGTCCCGCCCCACTGTGGCTGGGCAGCGCCTGCCCCTGCCCCAGCCCCAGCCCTCCACTCACCGCAGAGGCCTCCATCTGCCCCCACCATGCTTCCTCCCTCCCCCACACCCCTTTCCTCCAGATTTACTAGCCAGAAGCTGCTCTCCAAGCTGCCAGGCTGCATATTGACAATAGGATTGGTATCGGCCAATATGGCTGATCAAATTGGCCATTGGTATTGATCCAAAAAATCTTTATCGGTGCACCCCTAGAAGTAAGGGCTTACTGTAACTTTACAAGACACTCAAGGGACTCTCAACGAAGTCCCTGCACTGTTACTGGGCCCTCAGCTTTCATTGCTCCAGCTATACTGGCAATTAAAAAAGAAAGCAAGATGTGAAAATGACCAACCAGAGCCTTGATATTCATTTCCTTTTCTTTCAGTATGGTTGCACGCTACTTCCTGTAGTAGGTACACACTGCCTGAGGGCTATCTAAGGGCAAGAATGCAATTCAAAACTAACTCCAAAGATACAGGTAACTGCACATGCTCTCATAAATAAGCTGACAGGCTGTGATGTAGATGATTACAGTCAGGTAGGTGGCAAATTGGCTTAGGGGTCGCATCCAGAGAGTGGTGGTGGATGGGTCAATATCGACCTGGAAAGATGTGGGCAGTAGAGTCCCACAAGGCTCGGTTCTTTGACCAGTGCTATTCAATGTCTTCATCAGTGACTAGGATGAGAGTGTGGAGAGTACCCTGTCCAAGTTGGCAGATGATACCAAATTATGGGGCAAAGTTAACACACCAGAAGGTAGGGAATGGATCCAGGTGGATCTGGACAGGTTGGATAAATGGGCAGAATGAAATAGGATGCAGTTCAACAAAGACAAGTATGAAGTACTGCACCTGGGCAAAAAGAACCACCAACAAACTTACAGGCTGGGGGATGACCTTCTCAGTAGCACAGCAGCAGAAAGGGATCTTGGAGTCATAGTTGCTGGCTCCAAGATAAACATGAGTCATCAATGTGACGAAGTGATCAGTAAAGCTAACTGCACTTTATCACACATCAGCAGATGCATGATGAACAGGGCCAGGGAGGTGATACTTCCCCTCTATGCAGCACTGGTCAAGCCGCAGTTGGAGTACTGCGTCCAGTTTTGGAGGCCGCGCTTCAAGAGGGATGTAAAGAATCTTGAGAGGGTCCAGAGGAGGCCATTCGTATGGTCAGAGGCCTGCAGGCAAAGCCCCTACAAGGAGAGACTGAGGGACCTAGATCTCTTCAGCCTTCGCAAGAGAAGGCTGAGAGGTGACCTGTGGCTGCCTATAAATTCATCAGGGGAAGGCAGCAGGGAATTTACTAGAGCACCCCCTGGAGTAACTAGGAACAATGGCCACAAACTGACGAAGAGCAGATTTAGGTTGGACATTAGAAAGAACTTCTTCACAGTAAGGGTGGCCAGAATCTGGAATGGGCGCCCAAGGGAGGTGGTGCTCTCCCCTACCCTGGGGGTCTTCAAGAGGAGGCTGGACAAGCACCTGGCTGGGGTCATCTGACTCCAGCACCCTTCCTGCCCAGGGCAGGGGGTGGGACTCGATTTGCTGAGGTCCCTTCCAACCCTGACATCTATGAATCTACGCACAGCTCCAATGACCCTAAACACAGGCCAGACTTGAAAGTTACACACGTGGATATCAGCTTAGTACGTGAAGTCTAGTTACCCACCAACAATTTCCAAGTTTACTTATACTATCTTCTAACTGGACAACATTTAAACTTCTGTAAAAAAAACTAGATGCTTTCCTTCTCACTTGTAAACCATCTTCTCAGATTCTGCGTACAATACAGTCTCCATTCTAGCACAGGGTTTGAAGGAAACTTCTTGAGCTCAAGAATTTAAATACTGCTTAAAAGAAACTAGCTTACTGTGCATAACATGGAGAAAATCCAAGGTGCCCTAATAGATGTTTTCAGTTAAAAAGGTGCTGATAAGATAAGTTTGCTCTGAGGAAAGGTTAAGAGCCAAAAGTTAAGAAAACCAAGTAAGGCAAGGTATTGAGAAAGAATTTGAGGCAAAATTAGCTCATAGTATATAAGTTCTCATGAAAATGGGGGAAGGAGTGTTCAAAAGGATGGGCAAGTGACCAAACTAAAGCACGTTAACTAGAGCAGAGATTTACGGAAACACAGCTGCTGCACAGTGACTGTTCAGGCACTCTGTGCTCACAATTACTCCATGGTAAGTAAAGCTGAGCCTGGACAGTTCAGCCCTGCTGCATAAGGCCCCCACCTGCTTACTGACTTGCTTTTGTTTGAGTGAAGAGCTCTTTACGTCGTTCTGGAAAAGCAGCAGAATGAGGAATGTGTTTGGAAAGCACAGCCAGGAGCACATGAAGACAGGTTTTCAGGTAATTCAGAGACTGTTGGGAAGTGTGGCTACTAACATATTAAGCATCAGAGTTTGGCAGGCTTTTCCTATGTTAAAATGTTCCATGCTGCACCATCTACATTTAAAAAAAAAAAAAAAAAAAAAAAAAAGATCTGCAGGTGCACAATGGGGCTGCTTTGAAATGAAACAATGCATTGATTTTAAGGCATTAATTTTATAATTGGTTTTTGAAGCTTTTTCTCCCACTTCCTTGCTAATGTCTCTGCCACATGCCCCTCTCTCTCATCTATTATTCCTGTTTTGAATACTTTCTCGGGCATTTGGTTATTTTTATAGTATGGGTACATTATCTGTCATGACCTGGCAAAAAGGGCATTGCAAAAATAGCAGCTGTTTACTCAACAGTCCTTGGCCTGGACTGTAGTTTGAATCAAACCTGATTAATCTGGTGAAAAAAATGGCCTTATGCAACATTTCCTGAGATTACTTGGGGGTATTTTCACTGATCCCAATAAGTTTTGGTTTAGATCCAAGTTTAACTCCAGTTATCATAGATTCATAGATGTAGGGTCGGAAGGGACCTAAGTAGATCTTCAAGTCCGACCCCCCTCCCCTGGGCAGGAGAGAATACTGGGCTCATATGTCCCCAGCTAGGTAATTATCAAGCCTCCTCTTAAAGACCCCCCCAAGGTAGGAGCCAGCACCACTTTCCTTGGAAGTTGGTTCCACTTTCAAACAAACTCATCCTCAAGAGCAAGCTAGGTTTTGCTCAGGATCACACCATTAGCAGTACTGCTAAATACAATTCCAGCTCTAGCACCAAATTCTTCCCTCAGGTCCACAGGTACAAAACAGTGGAAAGAGTAGTAGAACCTAGATTACTCATATGCACCCAAACAGCTTGGCTCTCTGATCCTGGCTGGAGTTTGGAAGTTATAAAAGGAAAAAAAAAATTACTCAAGTTAAGAATCTCAGTTATAATAATCAATAATACAATGCATCACTATTTCTTAGTATTGTATGCATCTATTTTTTGCATGGGAATGTCAGACAGTATCCCAAGCTAAGTGAATATTAAACACACCATGCTAACATGACCGAAACAGACAGGCTGACTTAACAGAATGTGTGAAAGAAGGAAAGAGAAGAAAAGGGGATTTCTCATTAAATGGTCAGTTGTGAATTTTTTAAGTATCTTTGAAGGCAGCTGGATAAGAAAAAGAAAAGATCTTTCAGTCTCAGCTGGTGGGAATTCTTGTAACGCAGTGTTATAAAAAGTTGGCAGTGGCCCCAAATGCTGCTTGCAGCTAGCAAGTTTTATTCAGATTAGCTAGTATATAAGTGCTAAAACACACAGAGTAGAAAGAAAAATTAAAGCATCAGCGGCTTCTTTTATCACTTGTGAAGACTTTGTAAACACGCTTTCTTTCTGTTTCACCCCCCGCTGCCAGCATAGAAGTGCATATTATGCAACATTACAGTAAAATATTTTGAGGTTTCAGGACTGCTCTATACACATACCAGCTTTGAAGTTAAAATGAAAATGGTTTCAAAGCTCTTCTAAAGTCTTTGTTTAGGGCATCAATCTTTGGAAAGGAGAGAGGGACTAATGGAAGCCTTGAGCCATTTGGCACTTAATATTTAATGTTTGAAACTATAATCAATCTCGCTTAGAACATAATATGTGGCTGGATTGCTACATGTTGGTTTTTTCCATGCAAGTAGAAGTAACAGAAATGGTGTACATAAGAGGTACCTGGAAATTCTCAGCTGCCATGATTTGCGTAGCACCATGCAAATAGAAGGCAAAAACAACTTAATTGATTTTGGAAACAGCATGGATTAATTCAATCCTTTCCCGAAATATTACCTTACAGGAAGCTGTCACTTTTTGATGTGTGTTCCACTCTTCATTGTCTTCATTACACAATCTTGTGTGCCCATACAACATGTCAAACAGTCTGCTACTCCTTAAAAAGAATAATGTATTCTTGTTAGATATAGAGACAGATTAAAAAAAAAAAGTCTGCCTGTTCTTGCACTGCACCTGGTTTATAATCTCACATTTTAATGTCACTATGCTAGAGGAGGCCTAAAAGTTTAATTTGATCCACTATCAGCCAGCATGTTTGTGCTGGCAAAGAATGGATGGGGAGAAGTCTACAGAGAAAAGTACAGAAAGCAGAGATGCTTCTGTCCTCTAAAATGAACCTGGATGAACTGGGTTGAGTTTTTCCCTCAAGCGCTACATATATTTGTTCCCGTTCCATGGCTGGGGTGGATAGAAGCCCACCCTAAAGGTCAGAGTAGGCTCTACTGCCTGTATGTCAAATTCTACCCCTGAAGCTATGGTCTAGAAAACTCCTGAGGATCAATGTGGCCCTTTTCTGCTCCATATTACTAAGGAATGAAATTTTTAAATGCTTACTCCCTGAAGGTCCTTTCATAGCATCGGATACAGTGAGCTCTAGCCCAAAAAAGCTTTATGCATTAAACAAACATTACACACAGTATATTTATTATACTCTGTAGTTAGTCTACAAGGTGCAAATCTACATAGCCTTCTGATATAAGGATCAACATTCTTCCCCGATACAAAATCCATATCTTCATTCCCCCATCCATCAAATTCATTTTCTCTTACCCAAAAGCCTCATGAGCATATCATTTAATAGAGTACAGCATACACATGGTGTATCCATGCTTGCCTTGACCATAACCTTTGCAACATACTAATTACTGGTATCATGCAACCAAACTAAGACTTTACCCTTTCAACCTTTCCTGCAACGATTATTTTTAAAGAAAGAAAGAAAGAAAGAAAGAAAGAAAGAAAGAAAGAAAGATGATAAAAATAAAAAAAAAAATCAAGAAACTCACTGTGGAAATGCTATAGGCTCCACATGTTCACACAAAGGGTATTCACCTGACAATCTTCACTGAGCATGGATCTTTTTTCTAATTTTGTTACCGAGTACCTCCCTTTCAATCCATCACCAGCATCTTCCAGCATTGTTTACTAGCTCTTCCCTTATGTCCCATCACCTAACCTTGCCATGATTTCTAGTTCTTCAGCACTGATGGCTTCTTACCTCTTCCACTGAAACGGGTAGAAGAAAGAGGGTATTGATGGCATCTCTTATCAGAACGTCCTCTTTCCACTTTCAGTTTTGCCATCTTCCTTGCTGAAGAAGGAATTTGAACCCCCCCCACTCCCAGTCCCAGCTGACGTTCACCACTTTTAACTCACTCAAGCCATCTCATCTACCTCCTTTCATTTTTTGATTTACAAAGCATCTCTGCAATTTCTTTTAAGGAAATATTTGACCAATGGTCATTTCACCTCACCCTCCTTTCCCATCCTGCAACTTTCTCTCCTCTTCCCCACTGTTCTATCACAGATTTAGGAGCTTATCTACTCTCCTTCAATCCTCCCCCGTTGCCCCAATAACTCCATCTCGTCTCTCAGTCTCCTCAGTTACTTATCACTTGTGTGGCTCGGAGAAAAATAATCTATGAAGGGAGAAAGTAAGAAGATGTAAAAGAAATGGGAATTCCTTAAACACTAACATTTAAATATTAATCTCTCTAGGCTACCTGGAGGTATTTGAAATGAGAAACATGGCATGCTAGTGTGGACAGCGAGCAGCTATACCGCGTCTAGTCCCCAAGGTAGTCCATTTAGAACCAGCTCGACAGTCCCCACACAATATTACATGCATGCCAATGTAGACATACCATTCGAAACCTTCCCCAAACTGCCTTGTGTTCTTTGCAGTGTACCAAAACCATTCCCATCCATCTCTAAAGGCCTTCTCCCCTCCAAAACTCAGTTAGCCCTCTACCCTTGTCCTCCTTGATCCACTATCTGCCTTTGACAAGACTGACTGTGCTCTTCTTGAAATGTTGTTCTGTTTCCATGACTTGGTCCTCTCAATTTTCTTCTGGCCTCTCTGTTTTCTTCTTCAGAAGTTCTTCCTCGTCTCTTCCTTCCCCACCCCATCAATTTCTGTCGTGTCTGCGGGATACTAGCCTGGGCTCCCTTCCCACTTTACTTTCGGGGAAAGAAGTAGTCTTATTTGTAAACACAAACAGAATCACTGATTTTATGCAGAAGATTACTGGATCTGCCACTTACTCCTGACCTGCCCCCATCCAAATGAGATTCAACCTAATTTATCCAGCATCCCCTCATGGATGTCTGTCTTCCTTGCTAATAGAAGGAAGATTCTCACATCAATTTCAATATGGCTAAAAAAAACAGTTCAATCCCCCACATGTCCTGCAACACTTCTTTGATTTACCAATGTGGACAATACTTACACCACTGACCAAAGCATCTTCTTTGCTTCAGTCCTCATACCCTGACATCCAGACATATCTACATGATGCAGATTCTTTCTGCGTAACATTTCTGAGACAGTATTTCCTATTTATCCACAGAGCTAAACTCTCATCATCCCACATCCTGATTACTACAGCATATTCGTCTCCAGCTTGACAAATGTATTAGTTCCCTATGCGAAAAGCTGCCAGAAAAATCATTTTATAGCCCATTTTTTCCTTATATAACCTTCTTTGTAGCCCTCCATAGCCTCTGACTTCCCTAACCTACCTACTCATGTTCATTTTTAAAGCCTTTAACAGCCTCCCCATTCACTATCAGAGCATCAACTTCTGCCTCAGATCAGTTCATGATGGTAGCCTCTATTGCCTACTTTAAGCACCTCTGAGATTTTCCCCAGCTTGCTCCACACACTTGAGAGGAACTCCCTATAAATATCTGCAACTAGAGCAGTGCTCTCTTTGAAAAGTCACATTTTCGATGATGCCTGTAAAAAAAGCCCTGACAATGACCGGTGTGCTTAAGGCACTGCCTACCATGCTGACCAATATTTTCATTGTTTCCTTGTACTCCATCTGCTTTCATCCATCTGTTGTCCTTCTCTTCTACTTAAGACTGTAAACTCCTTGGGATAGAACCAGTGTTTTTTGTTCTGTTTGTACAGTGCGCAGCACAATGGGGTGCTGTTCAGTGACTGGGCCTCCTAGGCACTATGGTAATTCACATAAATAATGAAAGCTTGCATTGGTTCACTATATTGAAGATCATATTAAAAATAACTATGACCTGTCTCGTGCTATTGAACCATGCTAATCAAAGAAAAAGTTACAAGAAGAAACATCCATTAGTCAGCAGAAAGTTTAACACAACAAGATAATTTCCCTTCTTTACTTCCTAAAGGTAGCTAAGGGAACATGCACCTAAACCATTTGCTATATTTTTGCATTTCAAGACGCAAGAGAGACCAGCAAGATGATCATAGACCTGTACAAAATTACACTGCCATGACCTAATTTGATCACATTACTAGACTTGTTTTTGCATAAATGATCAGTCATTAGTTCACTTTTATTTTTGCATGATTTTCACTTAAAAACCCACACATTTTTTATTAGCTGATGCAAATTAGAACCGCACTGACTTCACAGACTAGAGACAAAGTAACAGCTTGCTCCACTAAAAAAGTAACAAGCTCCTTCCTTCCCCCACTCCCCTCAAAGGAATATAAACTGCATATGGCAAAAGAATGATCTGTAACTTTAATGAAGAGTTCTGTCACTGAATATGATAACTTAAGTTTACCTACTAGAAAGGATTTTAAAAAGTTGATTAAGATACAGTACGGAGACTAGCAGATTATACCAGAAATAGAACAGTAACCTAAATGTAGCATGCTTGACTTGATTATCTACCAACGTGTGGCTCATATGGTCAAAGTGATCTAACAGTTTTCTACACAAAGGTGTTTCTTCATTAAATAAGGAATAAACCTAAATACAATTTTTGTGTTTTCCTCTTAAAAGGAAGGTAAAGGTTGGTGCTGGAAGTAAGGTCAAATAGCAATGGTTTAGTAATAAAGAGCATCTGAAGCAGTAGATGACCTAACAGGTAGCACTCATCTCTGGGACATGCTGTCTTTTGTTCATGACATGTAGTAGAGCACTTCTTAGCATTTAATTGCCAACAAGAAGAAGGAAGTCATATTGTTGTATGTGACACCAAGTACATCTACATGCCATATTAAACTGAGGTAGTTAAATATCCCACAACCCTTTAAAAAGAAAAAAACCCAGAAAATAGTGGCAGGTGTGTCCAACAGTCTCTTCTCAGGACCCATTTTTATCATTACTGGAAGTGAGCAGCAAATGTTGGCCACTTACAATGGCCATAATAACAGGCCCCATTTTCAGAGGTGCAAAGAAGGAGGAGATGACAACACATTATAATCCTACTTGCACCTTATGGCAGTTAATCTGTGCTATGATCCAGTTGGATCACAAGCTTGGTGACAGTCAAGTACTTGGAAAGGAGATGTTTCTTGGTGATCTATTTGCATAGTTCCCAAGGAACAGTGAAAAAAATCCATCAAGATGTGATTAGGAGCACTTCACTGCTGTCTTTCAAAGTAACGACAAGGAAAAACCCTAGATCCTCACAGGAGGTTACTAAAGATCTCATAATACTTCTCATAAGAAACAGAACTACTGCCATCCCACAGCCCTGACAAATTCCAGCTCCTTTAAATACTTTCTGCTTGTTTAAATTTCCCCAGCAATTTTAATTGGCTATGGTGTTCTTCATTTCCTCCCCTTAAACTGCGGCAGAGTGTTGCTACACAGTCTTGAACAGCTGTTGTGCTATTCCCCTCTACAGGTGTCTGCATTTCAATGGCGAGTTCAGCAAAACCTATGTATTTATCTAGATCTCAAAAGTGGCATAAGGATTAATTTATGGAGGAATTAGTAAATTATACCCTCATACTGGGGAAGAGCTGGAGGAAACTCCCCTTTTGCTAACTTCCCTCATAGCTCCTGAGGGAAGTCATCAGCACTGATGGGAAGTCCATTAGTAGAAACACTAAGGGAAGTCATACACTATAAACTCTTCCCAGACAGTTAGTTTGGGACTGCACTGGGCCCTTCCAGTTCATTTGGTGCAAGGGACGTCATAGCAGCTTTCTGAAGCTGCACACTCATCCCGCAGGCCTGCCATGAGAGTCTGTAGGGTGAACCTGGCTTGCAAAGGGAACATCTGCACTATAGCAGCAACATAACCCTGTCAGACTGTTCCTGAGCACTCCCTACCCATCTGCTCCTGCCTGTATCTGTCAAACTGCTTCAGGCAGACCCCCACTGACCATTTTCAAGTATGCCACAAATCAAGGTGCTGGGGACATCCAGTGGAGATGATCCTCAAGTGGTTTCACGAATACACTTCTGGATTTGGAGTGTGCAACTGGGAGCAGATGGATGGGGTATGCTTGAGAACTGCCTGGCCTGCACACACCGGTACCCTGGGGTAGACATACCCTAAAACTCCTTAAGATCCTTAGACAAAAGGTGCCAAGGGCCACGCTCTCTTCTATGTTACAGCGATGCAATTCTTATTTAACAGAAGTATTATGTTGGCCAAATAAGGCTACATAGATTATTTTGAGCTACTACTTAAACAAGGAAAATTCTTGGTATGGAAATTGTGCGTGAGTATGACTACCTCAAAGAGATCATAATCAAATTGAAGTTTCTTGTCATTTCCAGTGGAACCAACATGACTGTATCACTTACTATCATTGAACTATCTGAACAGTGACATTAACAGTCAAGAAAGCAGAGAAGAACTGGATGCTTCAAGCCAAATTACAATATTCTCTCTTAGCTGATGAGGCCGAATAACAATAAGCTATATTCACATAATTGGTTCCATCTAAATATATCAAGTAATGTTTTTCTGTTTGTTCTTGCTCTTATTTTAGAGTGTCCCAAGTGGAAACACTATAACAGGTGACTTTATGCATCAAAGCAGTTTTTCACTTTGATAATGCCATTCTGCAAGCTAATACCATGGTCTCAACAACAGAAGATGCAATCTCTCAGTCAGGAAGTTTTCTTAAAAGGTTTACAGTCCATCAGAAGCAAAAGATGCTTTTCTATAGCTTTAAAGCAAACAGAAAAAACCCAGGTCAAAGTACAAATAACTCTGTAAAACTGGAAGTCCCTTCTGTCTAGGAAAGATCTATACTTGTAATGTACTGCACTCCCTCCAGAGTGCAGCACTGAGCCTTCACTTCACTTGCATGGGATTTAAAGCAAGTCTTTTAAATGACTCTTGCCCTGATTTGGAACTGAAGAGGTACATCTATTTTAGGGTTTTGACTAGTGTAGCCATATCCATACAACAATCCCTCATGCAGACAGGCCCGCAGGCACAGTGAATACATCCAGCCACCATTTTCCACGGCAGTAAATGTACTATTTTAATAGTACACTATAAACAATGACGACGTGCCTATGCTGCTTCACTGTACTTTTACAAATTTGTTTTCTAAATCTAAGTGGGGAGTTCTCTCTTTAGCTATTGAAATATAACTACTACCTTTGACCATACACTAAGAAATCCATCTGCACTAGGAAAACGGCCAATTGCTGACCAAGGTTGTTACCAACAAGTGCTGCCTAGCTCCTCCTCTGCAGAGAGGACTCGAAACAATTCTGGCACAGCCTTCATTAGCAACTAAGTCTTGTTAGTACTGTTTTAGAACACAGATGACAAAGTACATTTTCGAGAATTGCAAAAAAGTCTGGACTCATCTACCTTGTCAACCACAGCTCTTGAAGTGGGTTCAATTACACTGACATTGTCACAAATAAGAACTCCATCCTAAGAGGGCCACAACACGCGAGATTCTTTCCACCTGTCGTCTTCAAATTTTCAAAGGTACCTGGTCTGGGCTTGAAGACTGATCAACATCAACTTATTCCCTCCCTCATCTTTCATGATAAACTTGCTTCTTTACCCAGTCCTCTCTTTCCCACTCTTTAAGACACATTTTCCCATTTCAGGAAGCCAAAAAAAAACTTAGCCATGCCCCAAGAGTAGCAGCATTTACTTAAAAGTCATGAATTCTCAAGAAACACACTGCTGACCAAAGCAACTACACAATCTAATTGCTATAACACACCCTTTCCCTACTCTTCCCCTAACCTTTATAGCTGTCCAGTCATCAAATCACAACACAACTTCTTTATTTACATTAGAAGTAAATTGAAGCAGGGGATGTCGCTCTTTGTCCGTGAAGTCTCACATACTATTAATGCACTGTAAAAACTAACTGACCAACCAACAATGGGAATACTTCATACGCGAGATGGCTCTACTGTAACCAGGTCTATGTTGGGATGCCTTACGCCATCGGAACGAATGCAAATGATGATGACGACATGCGTTTAAGCAGATACTATTTCTGGTAGGTCAAAATTTTAACCTAGCTCCTTCCCACAGATTAAAGCAATCTTCCCTTTTCCCACTGCCATCCTCTATTTTACCTAAATTTGTGATTTGTTGGCAACAAAATATTTTTGCATTTTGCGTAAAAATAGGTAGTCTCGCGTTGTGACGAACAAGCAATATTCGATCCTTCGGTGATAAAATCTGCATGGGCTAACACACAGAGGTTCGCATTTCTAAACAGACCGTTCATTAACCGTTATTCAGTTTTCACAAGCGAGTCGCAACACCCTGTGCGCATGCAAATTTGGCATAAATAAAAAATTAGAGACAGCTATAAATAAACGAATGCAGCTACTCTGGCCTAGTCTAGCTACGGCTTTGGGAATCGCTGCCGTTATCATGGACAAAGTCTTTGGCGCATGTGTGCGGGATGTCGAGCAAAGGAACGTGATTTCTCAATTTTTACTTCGGATACGAAGATGCACCGAATAACCAGTAGCGCGTCATTTATGAAATCCCTAAAGGGGGAGGCCACAAAAAGGCCTGGACGCTGCAGACCACGAGGAATAACCTGTGGGGCATTACACACGAAGTGCAGAGCGAGGCGGAGAGGGAGGGGAGCAAGTGCATTTCCCCAAGCTGCTTTGGAAGTCGTCGACCTTTCCGAGCCGAACAGCAGACTGTTTTTGGAGCACGAAGAAACGCTAACATCACCGAGTCAAACCTGACGCGAGGGGCATCCGACCCCGGACGGTCGGGCTCCTGCGCCGTGGCGTACGCAAAGCGGGCCATCACCTTAGCAGCGAGCGCTGCTCGCGGGTCTCCCATCCCCTTCGGGCTCCCGGGCTCCTCCGCCGAGGCAGCTCGCACCTGCAGAGAAAGGGCAGCGCTGAGAGCTCGGCGGCGGGCGTTCGGGGGAAGAAAAGCTCGGAGACACCGGGGGGGGGGACATGAGACGAGGCAGGGGAAGGCACCAACCTCTCCTTGGACAGGGGGAAGGAGAGGGGCAGCCGTGGCAGGGCAAGGGGGCTGCTCACAGATGCTGAGGA